ATACTAACAATATAATATTATTGATCTCATCATGCACAACCATCTTACCGTTCATTTCCATCAAAAACTCAATATTTACTATAAATATAGTAATTATATCATTTGAAAAAATCCAAATTTCCTCCTAATTCATATATTTCATTTTAAATATTATACATATTCTATGTTCATAATGCCAGATCTAAATCTCAAATAGATTTCGAAATAAATAAAGAACAGAAAGTGTTCCTCTCAAAAAGTGGAAAGACTTTCCGGTTCCTCTGATTTTGAAGAAAATGATAAAGAAAAAGAGAACTTCTTTTTGGGCAAAGATATAGAAGAAGTTTCTGAAGAAATTACCAATTAAAATATTTTAAATAAAAAGATAAAGCAGTTTTCATTTTATTTTGAAGATTCACGCAAAATTTTTCATTAATAGTGCTATTTTCTTTGATAACAGAGCAATTCCCTTGAACTTCTTGTATACCAAATCCATTCTCTGTATAGTTGTAATAATTATTTATAAAGATTTTTTAAAAAATGTTACTCATATGTACTCTTTACAAATGAAATTGATTTATACCCTTCTTTGCATAATTTAGCTTCAAACTTGCCATTTGACCATATTTCAAGTTGATGTTGTACAATATATTCATTGAAGATACAACTTTCCGTTGATTTAGAAAAGATTAACACTTTTGAATTGCTAACTCTAAATGATGATAGGTTATTATTATTTTGAATTAGTAATTTCATCAATTTCTTTTGAATATATATTTTGTACGGAATTACTTATTCTCACTGAAGATAATAAATTATTGTTATATGCAAAACAATTTGAAGGAACATAATTGTTATATTTTATAAAGATCTTATGTTGATAAACAATTTTGAAAATCTTATAAATCAAACACTCTTATTCAATCTTCAAATCTTAGATACCAGAATATTGCTTCCCAATTCAATAAAGATAATTGGTATTCCAACAACAAGAAATTCAAACCAGTTAGATATGTTAAACTCTAATAACACAAAAGAAATTGAAGCTGAGTTAATGCTTAATTTTTCTTTTAACTTGATAAATATTCAACAGAATTAATTTTTGGTTTTAATTAATTAATTAATGCAAAAGAATTTGGTAGTATATAATCGGAGATAAAGATATCACAATGAGAATGATAAATATAATAAGAAATGCTAATTCTACTTTGTATTTTCCGCTTTGTTTATATTTAATTTCATCATTTATTTGTAATGAAACATTTGCATCACATCCAGTTTCATTAGTGGTTTCATTTATTGTATTTTCTAAGAGATTGGAACAATTTCCTGGAACAACTTGAAATGAAAGCTCGGTCTCTGCATAGTTGTAATAATTACTTGCAAAGAACTTTGATAAATATCTGTATAATGTTTCAAATCTCCCTTCTAAAATCCTCCTGTTTCCATAATCCATTCTATTTCTTATCGAATCCAAAAATGAAATTGATTTATAACCTTCTTTACAGAATTTAGTTTCAAATTTGATCGGTAAAATTTGATTGCGAAGATCTGTTACCATTTGGTCAGGGAGTAAACAACTATCAATTGAGTCAGGGAATATAAGAACTTTTGGTTCAAAAAATGTTAAACTATATAAACTTTCTAAATCAATATTTTGAACTGAGTTGCTAAATTTAACTGAAGCTGATAAATTATTGTTATATATTGAAACCAATACATTGGAGTTCTTCATAATAATTTCAGTTTGTCTAATATAATAAATTGGATGATCTTTAGAGATAGTGATAATCAAATCATTGCATCCCATAAATGCATTATTTCCTATTTTAGTTATTCTATCTGTGATTGTAAATTTTTTAAGTCCACTAGATACAAAACAGTATGCTGGAATAAAATGTAAATTATCATTAAATGATATTGATTCTAAACTTGAACAATTCATAAAACGGTTTTCAATGAGACTTATAATAGATGATTTTTAACCTAAAGAAATTTCTGTTAAAGATGTACATCCTGCAAAACAAAATTGGGGAATGAAGTTAACATTTGGAAGAACTATTTTCTTCAGTTCTGAACAGTTGATGAAACATCCAATTCCGACATTTATTATATTCGAATTAAAAACAATTTCTTTCAAATTTGAGCATCCCATAAATAAACAGATACCTAATTGAGTAATATCTTTAGATTCAAAAGTAATCTTTTCAACATTTATACATTCTCGAAATCCATAAATTATTGAATAAACTGTTTCAGGAATGATAAGTTCTTTTTCTGTATTACAAGGAAGACATGAGAAAAGAATAGTTTTATTTTTTGTTGTATAATAGAGGATAATCATATAAGAGATCTAAATCTTCGTCGATCTCAATATCCGTAATGTTATTTGCTCCTGCAAACAACGACAAATCATAGAAATTACTATGAATTGTTATCTTTTTGAGTTCATTACATCCTGAAAAAACAGATTTTCCTTCTTGAAATAGATCATAAATATTGCATATATAAATAAAATCAATAAAATCAATAAAATCAATAAAATCAATACTAGAGTTTTTATAAATCACTATTTCGTCAATGTGAGTATTAATGAAAGCATTATTTCCAACTTCAACCTGATTTGACAAAATTACTTTTCCAGAAATACCTGAATTTGCAAAAGCATATTCTTCAATTCTGTTAACACCAGAAATTTTTACAACCATAAAAGCAATAACTAATTATTGATGAAACATTTTCAAAATAAATTGAATTCAAGCTGGAATTTTCAAACGATGTTGATATTATATTTGTATTTTCATCAATATATACTGTTTCTATATTGGGAAACATTCCTGAAAAATTGAAAATTTCCGGTGTACTGTCAGAACCTGAAAATTCGATGCTTTTAATTGTCCTAAATTTGTAGTATGAATTGATATAACTTGAGGTTGCAATATTTAGATTTTGTATGTTCTTATAAGTGATCGCCAAATAATAATCATAAGAATTGAAAATATCGCTAGATTTTACCGTAACAAGTGATTCTTCGAGATCAAATATTATGTTCGATGTTTCAGAATTAGACGATTCAAGAATTTTTTGGACAGCTAAGGCACTCAGCATTGAAATAATTTATTAAAAAAATCTTTTTGAAAACGTCAAGATGAATTAAAACATCAATGTAATTATAATATATATAAAAAACAATATGATCTTTGAAAACAATTGGAAAAAAAAGCATTTGTAGAATTTCTAAAAAATATGATCAAAGTTTTCAAAGCAATCATTTTGTTCAAAATAAACCGATAGCAGACAATTGAATAATACACGTTTTATAAATGATTTGAAATAATGAAAAAGAGATTTATTATTTGAATTAAAATGATCGCAATATATTTCTCACTTACCTGCTCTGCTTCGTAAAGTCTTTTATATAAATTTTATTCAATATTGAGGGGAAGAGTACGATTAGGAGTTTCTAAAGTACTTTTCTAAATAGTATCAAAGTACTTTTCTAAATAAGCATATAATATCAATTTACAAATTGTTTGCAAGCATTCAAATTTTTAGAAGTTTTAAAACGTTCATAAGCAATTAAAGAAATGAACAATTTTTTTAAATTATTCATAAATCATCTTTTATCTAGAATTGGATGATATTATATTTCAAATCCAAGATCAAATATTAAATTTTTGTGAGTTCAATACAATTTTTGTTTGAAAATCCTTAAAGTATATTTATAACTTTTGTAACACCAATAAAATATTGAATTAAAGTTTTTGAATGTTTCTCAATTTTCATTTATGTTGACCCGAGTTTTTTGCAGTACTTTATTAAGTCAAAAACTATTTTTTGAATCATTGGTGTATATACAAGAAAATGTTGTGGTAGTATCCTCAAATAATGATTTTCTTGGACCTAATTCACCTGAAAATGAAATTTACAAAAAATTAGTAGATAATTCCATAGAAAATGTCAAGCTCACAAGTGAAGTTAGTGAAATATATCCATTTTATGGCATCCATCTTGTCAAAATCTTCGATTTTTCAGAATCATCAGTTCATAATATACCTAGTAGAATGTTTGGAGATAGCATTAAACTAGATGAAGTTATTATGAGTCAAGATATCAAAAATATATCAGAATATGCTTTTCAAAACTCTGCAATTTCGAGAATTAATTTGGATCATGTGGAAATCATCGGAAAATATGCATTTTTAAATTGTCAAAAACTTAAAAGTATTAACATACAATCTGTTTCACAATTTGATATTGGATCATTTAGTGGAAGTGGTCTAATTGAATTCAGGTTTCCAGAAAATATTGCAAATGTGATAGATTCTATGTTTCAAAATTGTTATTTTTTATCAAAAGTAATATTGAGTTCTAGTATAACAGCAATTGGTGATTATTCATTTTCAAATTGTTTTAATCTTAAAACTGTTGAAGGAATTTCAAAATTAACAGAAATTGGATATAGTGCATTCGAATATTGTTCTCTTGAAAGTTTGATATTCGAAAATGAATCGGTTTTATGTCAAACAAAGGCATTTTCAAATAACGTGAAATTGACATCAGCTCAATTTAAATCAGTCTCTTTACAACAAAGCGTGTTTATGAACTGTGTTAATTTAAAGACAATAACTATTATAAATGCTTATATTTCTCAAGACGGTTCTCGAAGAGGGTATAATTTTTATAATTGTATATCATTGAAAAAATTTACTGCTGAGAAAGCACAAGTTTTAGAAATTTGCGACTTTGAAAACTGTAGAAATTTGACAGTTTTTGAAGTAAATGAACTACGAACAATAAGAAATGCATGTTTCAAAAATTGCCAATCATTAACATGGTTTAACTTAACAGGTGTCCATAATGTTGGTTCAGCAGCATTTCAAGGATGCATAAACTTAAAACATGTTGTTGGATTGAATTCAGATATAAGATGTGAAAGTTGTTATATATATTTTCAAGGATATGCTTTCTCTGATTGTATTAGCTTAGATCTGAGAGAAATTAGTTTTTTACAATATGCAATGTTTTCAAATTGTTATTCATTGACCGAAGTCAATTTTACTGGTTATGAATTGTATCCTAAAGCCTTTCAGTTCTGTATCAATCTCAAGAAGTTTACTTTTCAATACGAAGAAATTCATATTGAAGAAATTCCTGATTATTGTTTCTATGGCTGTGTTAACTTGGAAGAGATTAATATTCCTGATAGAATAACAGAAATTTATGACTTTGCATTTTATAATACATCACTCAGAAATGGAATAAATCTCAATAAAGTTCAATCTCTCGGGCAATACTCATTTGCATTTTCAAAACTAACATCAATTACAATCAAAAATGCAATAAATTTCAATTCAGAAAACGATTACTATGTTCTAGATTACGATAACCTACATATTTTTGATCATTGTGATAATCTTGAAAAAGTGATATTCGAGAAGAGTGGTTTTATATCCTTATATGAATTTATAAATTGTAAAGAATTCAAAACATTGGAAACAAATGGCGCTTTTAAACTCATGGATGGAATGCTATGTGTAACTAGAGGATATGAAGATTCTAGAAGATATGAAGATTATAGAAGAAATGAAGATTCTACAAATAACATAACTGCTATATATTTGTATAATATATCAGCAAAATATGAAAGAGTAACAATTCCAGAAAACATTTTTGGAATTTTATTTTTTGCATTTCGGTATGCAAATAACATTAAAACTATTGCAATATCACATACAATGCAAATTTTACCATATGCATTTGCTGATATGGCATCTTTAGAAGAAGTTTATTTTAATTCCAATGAAATTCCATATGTATGCTTTTACAATTGCACAAAACTATCGAAAGTTACTCTCTCAGATAATGTTAAAAGAATTAATAAGTATTCATTTGCGAATACAAATTTGACAGAAATTGTTTTACCTCTTTCTTTAGAAAATATTGTTATTCCATTTATCAATACATCAATCGCAAAAATTGGATTCAAAGATGGACAAAATCATCCTGATTTTATTGCTACAAAGAATGAATTCATTAGAATCAATCATGATAAGAATGATGAAATGGAAATAATGTTTCTATTTGGTAACATTTCAAATAAGATAACAAAGTTAACAGAAGGAATTAAAAGTATCAATTTAGAAAGCTTAAAAACAAATTCTGATGATAATGTAATATTGATGCTTCCTCATTCAATCCAAAAAATTGAAATTTATGAAACAGACTATGAAGACCTCCATTATTATAGAGAAGAAATTGATGGAATTCGAGTAACTATTCATGAAGATTATCAATATAATTATGAAATTAGTTACCCAAAATTGTGCTATGATTGGATAAACCCAATTCAGGTTTTAGGTGATGAACCATATGATCATGATCATATAGAGTTACGCGAAATTATGGAAAGAACTAGCTCTGGACCTAAAGTTGAGTTTTACTCGTTGACATATCCTGAGTATTATATCGGCTTTATTGAAGTAATTAACAAGAGTTGTGAATCTAACTTGAATTATGAAGAAGAAAACGCTACAAAACCACAATGTAATAATCAGTAGATGCTGAATAATGAAGAAAGTAGGAAGAAAGGATCATTATATAATATTGAGATTGGATTAATTGTTGTATCTCTTTTGTTCATTGGAACTCTTGTATGCCTACTATATACTATCTATGCATACATGAAACAAAAGAATAATGATGAATCTGACTCGGTTCAAGAGATGAATGTTGAAAAAGTTACAACAGTCAATTCAGCTGAAAATGATGGTATTACATATGACAATCCATTATTTACACGAACCAACCAAAATGATGATCCATTCAAGGATGATTTTGAAGAAAATGATAAAGATGATGAGAACTTCTTTTTGGGCAAAGATATAGAAGAAGTTTCTGAAGAAATTACCAATTAAAACATTTTAATTAAATATATTTTTAATAATTTAAAATATAACATAGAATAGAAAGTTTTACTTTCAAGTTGAAAGAAATGTTATCGAATCAATCCTGAGTTATTCCAATTTGCTCAAAGTACAATTGAATTATCTGAGGATAAAACAAAAAAGACACCTCTTAATATTCATTATCAGATATTGTATTCATCTTGATTATATAGAAGTAATTTACATGAGCTGTGAATCAAATTTGATTGTTGAAAAAGAAAACAAAACTGGTTTGTGTAAATTAGCAGATTCCAATTGATGAAAATAACTTGGAAATATATATCATTAAGTAATCTTGAGATAGGTCTAATCGTTGTTTCTCTTTTGTTTATCGGATCTATTGTTTGTCTCCTTTACACAGTTTACTCATTCATGACCGAAAAGAGCGATGGCACTGCAGAAATGAATGTTGAAAAAGTTAAAACTGAGATCACAAATGAAATCGATGGTATTACTTATGTCATCCATTATTTACTTGATCCAATTGATGATTTCAAAGAGAAAGACAAAATTGAATACGATTTCTTTTTATGAAAAGATATTGAAGAAGAAAAGACTGATTAAAATTATCTTGATTTTTAATTATTATGCGAATGGTCCGATAAACGCTTTGATTTTAATTTTTTTAAAAAATGTTATTGTGAATAAGGCCATAACATCTATAAATTAATCCCTTTCTTTTAAAAATTTGAAATTTTACGAGTAGGGGTAATTTTAGCTAAAAGTGACACGCCTGTAAAAAGTGACACACCCGTGAAGGGTGTGATTACCAATCGGTAATTTCGACAGTTTAGAATTTAAAATTTTTTATGGAACTGTTGCGAGTTTCATAAAGAATTTAAGGAATATAAGCAAAGATTTGAATCAAAATCTTAGACCTAAGCCGATCGCTTCGCTCGCGGCTTTCTTTATTATTTTAAATTTGCATATTTCCATCAAAAGTTCATAAGGTAAAAAATTTGAGTGTGGTAGAATTTACGAAAAAGTGACATTATAAAAAGTGACACTTAACCTTAAATTTCCAAACACTATTTTTTGATTGTATTTTGTTATTTATATATTTATATATATATGTATATATATATGTATATTAATATATATGTATATTTATATATGTGTATATTTATATATGTGTATATTTATATATGTGTATATTTATATATGTGTATATTTATATATGTATATATTTATATATGTATATATTTATATATGTATATATTTATATATGTATATATTTATATATGTATATATTTATATATGTATATATTTATATATGTATATATTTATATATGTATATATTTATATATGTATATATTTATATATGTATATATTTATATATGTATATATTTATATATGTATATATTTATATATGTATATATTTATATATGTATATATTTATATATGTATATATTTATATATGTATATATTTATATATGTATATATTTATATATGTATATATTTATATATGTATATATTTATATATGTATATATTTATATATGTATATATTTATATATGTATATATTTATATATGTATATATTTATATATGTATATATTTATATATGTATATATTTATTAGAAACTGCTTCATGCTGTGTTGAGTATTGTTGAATTGGAAACTGCTTCATGCTGCATTGAGTATTGTTGAATAATTTGAAGTAGTGGTTTTTGAAATCAGCACCCCTATGAGAGCGCTGGCGACCGAAACACCACTAGTAAGATTGTGTATTAGAAACTGCTTCATGCTGTGTTGAGTAAGCTTCGATATCTTTATCAGACCACCTTTAAATTAACCACTCACATTCTCCCTGTGGTCCATCTAAAATTTGTAAGCTTTATGACATAAAATTATATTATATGCAGGATCCCACCTATTACTTAATCTTTTTGGAATAAATGTTTTATAATATTTATCGATTGATTGTAATTTTTTGTATAAAAAAAGTTTTTTATTTATATTAAAAATATATTCGGTTAATGATATTATCTTATAATTTGTAAATAAATCTAGTAATAAAATAACTTTAATAGTTGGTGTCACTTTTTCGAAAATTCTGGTTTTTTCAGCCGATCGCTTCGCTCGCGGCTTTCTTTATTATTTTAAATTTGCATATTTCCATCAAAAGTTCATAAGGTAAAAAATTTCGTTTATATTATTGCAAAATAAAATCTTCATTATCAAAATAATATTAAATGATAATATAATATAATTTATAAACAACTATTATTTAATAAAGTTTAATTGCCAAGGTTCATCTAATTTTTTGATTTTTAATGTTTTATGAATTTTATTTATCATGTATATATCTAATGAAGATTATATATGTAGAAGATAAGTACCTTAATATGTACGTAAAAATTAATGAAATTTATTTTGAATGTAGAACCGAGCAATTTTCAAATTTTGTGCTTTTTTTGAATTTTCTCGATACCAGATAAGTTGTGTTGGCTAAATAATATATGGATACAATGTGTTGTATAGATGAATATATGCACAAAGTTTAAGAGGTCATTTTCTTTCAGAAACCGAGATTTGTGAATTTTTTCAAATTTTGTGCTTTTTTTGATATTGAAATTTCATTTCATTTTTTTGATGCATATCGATGCACCATGCGAACTTAAAGAAAGGCTATCTTATATAGATGCTATGAAAGCTGTCATTGATAACGAATGCCATGCAGGTTGTCCATATCAATTAAAAAAAAATCCAAATTTAGGGGGAACAAAATTAAAATTCAGGTGCAGTGCAGATAAATGTGAAGCATGTATCTCATTTCTAAAGGATGATGAAGAATATATCCTAACAGAATATAATGGAACACATAATCACAATCAAATCAAAGATGAGACAAAGAAATACCACACATTATCACAATGCTATCGTCGGGTACTTATTAATTTTATAAAACAGGGGGTGATCCGAAATGGCTCAAATTGAATGCGACAAAAAACTTGATCTGGATGATCCACTTAACAGGCCATCTTTTTGAATGCATCTTCAGATCAAATGAAAACAATTCAGGAAAAAGGAAATAAAAAGATCAAAGGTATTCAAAAGTACGATGATAATCAATTCAAGTCAACTCAATTATTTAAGGGTATCAAAGAACAAGAGTCACCAAAAGATTTAATTTATTTCGATGTCGATAATTACAACAAACCAAAGAAATTAATCTTTTATTATGCTTCTTTCAAATTTCTGGACATAATCAAAATTGTGAAAGAGCATTTTATTGATGCAACCCATTCATTACTTGAATTTAAAATGTTGTTTTACATGATATCAGCCAAATTTCCAAATACACATGCATTCCCAATTTTTCAATTTGTCGTTTATCCAAACACTTCAGAAAATATTGCATTCTGTCTCAAGGCATTTTTTAACTGGGCAAAAGTAAAACCAAAATATTTTATGTCAGATTGTGCACAAGAAATCGAAAATGCGATTATCAACTCTTTTCCAGAAGTTATCCTTCATTGGTGTGCAGTTCATGTAATGAGGGCGTTCAGAAAAAATTTGAAAGATTATGCATTTGAGAGTTCAGACAAATTGATATTAGATACAAAAATGAACTATCTTGCATACGGCAGAAATGGCAAGAAAGAATGGATTGAACCAACGTTCAAAAAAATTCTGGAAATAGCCGAAAAATTCCCAGAATTTTCAAAATACATACAAAATCAATGGATATCAAACCAAGAAAGATGGACAGCCGCTGAAAGAGATGAAAATTTAGCTCTCACAAATAACATTTCAGAATCGATTAACAAAAAAATTAAATATTACTACTTTGGCGGAACAATTTTCATGAGATTTGATCGATTTGTGATGAAATTAATCGATTTTATCGTTCCTTCATTTTATTACAGAATTTCTCAAGATATAAGGCTCAGAGACAAAATTCCAAATCCGTTGCCATCTGAAAAAAAGCCAAAAAAGTCTACAATCAGACTGGATACAGAAAAATGTATAATGCTCACTGATAAAATTAAATCGTTAATAGTTAACTCATCAGCAAACTTAAATACGCTTCAATTGGGTTTAGATGACCTACTTGATAAAGTTGTCAAGGCAGCAAAGGTTCAAAAACGAATGACCCAGTATTTTTCGAAATTAAGTATCCCAATGGAAATCAAGCTTAGTATTCTCACGCAAATTACAGAATTTGGATGCAATACCCCTCAATTCATTGTTGAGAATGCCAAGTCTTTTCAAGATAAAATTATTACAGATTTCCACCTTCAAATTTATACAACATTATAAAAATTTATGAATAAAAACTTGATATAAAATAACATTTTTATTTTTACTAAGAAAAAAAAGGTTTTTGATAATAAATTTATTTTATTTCGAAAAAGTAGCAATAATCGTAAAAGGGTATTGATAGGCTTGCTAAAGTAACTAATTTTAGCTGTCAAATACTTTTGTATTTTGAAGTAAATTAGTATAAATTTGTTTTTACTTTTATTTCGAAAAAGTAGCAATAATCGTAAAAGGGTATTGATAGGCTTGCTAAAGTAACTAATTTTAGCTGTCAAATACTTTTGTATTTTGAAGTAAATTAGTATAAATTTGATATTATTTTAACTCCCTTTGAAAACCTCAATTTTCCATACAGAGGGAACGGGAATAGCATCCAATATTCCCTGAGAATGGTTGCGCATTCTCGGTTCCCTCTATATTTCGAACGAAGCTCTCATCGGTCTTTTTTTTAATACTAAACGTTTTTTTCCATGTCACTTTTAGCTAAAATTTGGGTTTGCCATTGAAGAAAAATATCAAGAATACATTAATAATCCAAATGTAACTCTCGAAGATACGGCAAAAACACTTTCAATAGGAAAAGAACGTTTGAAAAAAATTTTCGTACTATTCGGCTATCCAATAAAAGAAAGAGGAAGACCAAAGAAAAAAAATTTTGAGGAAGATGTATACAAAATTTTGGAAATTAAAGCACAATATGACATTGGATACAAAAGGATCAAAGAATCATATTTCGAAAAAGTCGAAAGATTTACATTCAACGATGCTTTCAAAATTTTCAATCAACAACATTTGTTTACATTTCACAGGCATCAGAAAATCGACGAACATCCACATGAATACGTTGCTCAATATGTTAATCAATTGTGGCATACTGATTTGAAATTTCTGAAGGACGATAACGGTAACATTCAATATTTAATTTCATTTCTTGATGACAGAAGCAGATACATTATTTGCTGGGATGTTTTCGATACAAAAGAAATGAAAAATACTGCCAGAGTATTTCGTCACGCAATTGATTTAGTCAAATTAGTTCCACATGGAATTCTCACAGATAATGGAACAGAATTCATTGGAAAAGATTTTGAAGCGGTTTGCCAAGAATTCAATATAAAACATTTCAAAACTCATCCGTACTCTCCAGAGGAAAATGGAAAAATTGAAAGGAGTTGGGAGACTCTTTTCAAGACAAACCCTGGAGTGAACGTCTTTGAGTTCATCCCCAATGTTGTTTCCCAGTATAATAGGGTATGGAAACACTCCGCATTATTCAAACTCTTTGGGGAGAAATTGACTCCATTTGAGGCCTGGGAAAGAGGCCCCAAATGGACAAAAGATCTCTGCGCTGAACCAGGCTTCGAAAAAAATCTTAGAGATTAACAAATAATTTCAAAAACAAGAAAATTCAAAAAATCACAAAAAGGAAGTTAAGGAATAAACACTTACATTTATTACATTTGGATTTTTTTTTAAATTCAGTATTATTTTTAGAAATAAGATAATATAGTTCTAAATAAAACAAAGAATGTTAAGAAGGAAGAAGGAATTAGCGGATGCAGCCGAAGCACGCTCACAAATTACTCTCAATATCCACTCAAATCATACAAAGTTTTGTCGAATAGTTTGATATAAAGACAAAAAATTTACAATTTTTAATTAAATCCGAACAATCTTACATATGCAGCTGAAGCACGCTCACAAATTACTCTCAATATCCACTCAAATCATACAAAGTTTTGTCGAATAGTTTGATATAAAGACAAAAAATTTACAATTTTTAATTAAATCCGAACAATCTTACATATGCAGCTGAAGCACTCACAAATTACTCTCAATATCCACTCAAATCATACAAAGTTTTGTCGAATAGTTTGATATAAAGACAAAAAATTTACAATTTTTAATTAAATCCGAACAATCTTACATATGCAGCTGAAGCACACTCACAAATTACTCTCAATATCCACTCAAATCATACAAAGTTTTGTCGAATAGTTTGATATAAAGACAAAAAATTTACAATTTTTAATTAAATCCGAACAATCTTACATATGCAGCTGAAGCACACTCACAAATTACTCTCAATATCCACTCAAATCATACAAAGTTTTATATTTTCATTTTATTGTTTCTTAATAAAGAATTTACTTTAATATTCTTAATTGTTTTCTTTTTTATATTTAATTTTTGATATCTATTTTAAAAAACTTATACAAATTCGAGTCAGCTAATAATTTAATTGAAAAAATAAAAAGAAAACATATAATTTTTAATCCGTCTAATTGAATAAGCAATATTATAAATATTATGTTAAACGGTTAATTTTTTCTCAAAAAAAATTATTTCGAATTTCCGAAATTTTTGACATTTTGGCTGAGAACTATGGTCTGCGAGGTACATAGATAGAATCAGTACCTCGCAGACTATAGTTCTCTATATGGCGCCGAAAATTTTTTGGTGAAATGCGACGACATTTCACCAAAAATTTTTCGGCGCCATAGGAAGAATTGGAGGGTGTGAGATACTATTACATGCTATAGTACTCACACCCTCCAACTCCCAATCAAAATCGCATAAAATTTGCTACTTATCTTCAGATTACTTCCCATTATAAAATATATCATTGCTATCTCATCGTACTATATTTCCACCCTATTGTATTTAAAAATATAAAATTTTTTGATAATATATTTTTATATCTTGAATTTTCAAACAATATATTCACAGATAATATAATGGGAAATCTATCTCAACCTATCCTTAAAGTACCAAACTCCTGCTTGCATTCTCACTCACAAATATTAAACATCCATCTCCAAAAAACTAAATTCTTCACAATTTTTTTAAAATTGAGAACATAAAAAACGTATGCATTCAATAATTTAAGATACTAACAAATATTAAAAACTTCAAAATATCAGATAATAACGTTTTTCAATTAAAAAAATATCATTTTGCTTTTCAATTCGAACATAAATCTTAAATATTTTTAATTAATATCTGATTTACAGCATTATTATCCATTTATAAATCTGACAAATAAATGACAAAACCATCAGAAATAGTATCACTTTTTGTCAAAAGTGAAGTCATGCTATTTTTCATGCACAACACATTTTTGGTGATTTTATTGAGAATTGTCTTAAATAAACTAGACATTAGTGGAAGATCTTCTTCCACAGACCAACCATATGCTATCGGAATAGCTCGTCTGGTTGGAGATGTAGTGGCAATTACCCCCATTTTACCCGCACAGATTGTATTGGTTCTAGTGGCATCCACAAGAAGAATATTGTTAAATCTTTCTGATTTAAGAAACAATTCTGATGCCGGTGGTAAAATTGAAATACATTTTATTATAAAGTTTGGATCTTCAATTAATTCGTTAACTTTGTAAATATACTCATTTTTATCATTTTTTTCACCTGTAGAAATAATGGAACAGCCTCCTGATTCAACAATATGATTATTCAATGAAATTAGTTTTTTGAAACTATTCACTAAATCAGAATCTGTAATATGAAAAATTGCTTTTACACGTTTTCGAAAAGTATCTTCTCCTATTTCCCTTTTGAATTGTTTTTGAACGATACAATGAAAATTTGTAAAATTATTACTGATAAATGATTCATTATTTGATTCAATAAGATAATCTAATACTATTGTGGGGATGGTTGTTGATTCCATACAATGCGAATGAGATTTATCAACTCGTATTTTGTAACATTTGAGCGTTTTGTCATAGTAAACTGTATAATGAGCGCCGCATTGACATGATAATTCACGTTTTGCTCTATTATAGTTCATAAATATGAAATTTTGAGATGTGTGGTATAATGCTGTAAAAAACGCTGAATCTTCATTGGCAAAATTAATGGATGTTAAATATGCTTCAATTGCTATAATTTTTTCATGCGAAACTTCAGATGTTGAGTAGCTAGGAACAGAATCGTCATTTTCATTATTTGACAATGCTTTTTTTAGATCTTGAATGGATGGAATTAATGGCCAGTCCATAGGATCACTCAGTGGAATTTTGAAATCAATTGGATTTTGAGGTGGATCATCAATATATTTCAGTAATAAAGACATTTATGAATTAGAAAAGTGACAAATAATAAATCACCATAAATAATATAAATTCAACAATATATATGATGCAATATCTATTATATAAAACATTCTGTGAATTAAAAATTTAATTTTTTTTCATGAATCATTTGTAAATAATATTTTTGCTACAGTTTTTCAGGAGATATTAAAAAATCATGACGATATTTGTTTGACATTATTGATGTTTCAATGATAAAAATAATAAATGGTGATTAATATTATGTTTCTAAAGAATATAAGAGACAACAGAAATAGAAATATGTTAGAAACTTAAAAATATATGTATACATAATAGCTTATGTTATCATAGCTAAATATCATTTAAACAGAATATGAAGATATAGAAAAAAGTGTGTATCTGATTTGAATCTAAAAATATAGTGTTTTACTGACAATGAATTGCTTATTATGTTAGCAATAATCAAAAAATCTATGAATCAGGATGAATTTGTATTTTGATTCAAATTCGCTGATTGTATCTTCATCTAAGATCTCATAATTCTGTGATAGAAAATTAATAATGGAATCAGTAACAATTTGATTTTGTATGATAATTGGATCATCAATTAAATTTAAATATAAATTTAAGTAAAAATCGAGATTATCTTCATTTATTGGATTATTATTATTAAATGACTGAATTATATCTATTTTATGAGATGGTAGAATGCTTTTATCCGGTAAAATTGAATAAGAAAGTTCGCACATTAAGTCAAATACTAAATTCTTACTTGAAAAGCATAGAGTCCGAGAGTTTAATTTGACAATAAAGCTTACCATTTTCATTTATAATTGATTTAACTTTCAAGTAATTTTCTTTTGAATA